GGACCTGAAGATCTCGGACGAGTGTGTGGCTCAGTGGAAGGACAAAAGGCTGCTGACCAAACTGGGACAGATCACATGTAAGACGCTGAAAGGGGGAAACATTAGTTAGATCCAGAAACCAGACTCCCATCCATCGCCGGAGCCGCTCCACAGATCACCATGGCGACATTAAGCTTCATCTGGATGTTTCTGGAAGGACGCTTCTGACAACATAGACCAACCGTTTTCATACTTTAATCCTGACTGAGATCAAGAATCTTTAACAAAACAATACGAGTTAAAGTTTGTTACTTATGCAGCTAAATGCAAACAACAGTACATATTTAAGAATGGAGATAAGGAAGTCTGATTCGTTTGCTCTTCTCTAGGTCTAGCTGATAATATCTCAGGGTTCTGAGAGGAGCTTCTAATGTTTGGGGACTTTTTTCAGGTTTAAAAGTGTGGAGTCAGCTGCCATATATGATTGAAAAGGAATGCTTTGAAAACTTCATCCCATGTATGTAAAGTCAGTATTCCTCAATCTGTCAGACGGCTTTAATTTGAGTGCTGCCCAGAAGTCTTATCATGTTGGAATAAACAAACACATCTGTAAATTGAAATAAACATTGAATCTGAGGGTGACGACTGCGTCGTAATGTGGATGGAGATAAATGTGTGCGCTCCGTTAGAAAAGGTTATTTATTCAATTCAAAACAGGAAACCTCTCCAGTATATTTTCATGAATAAAGCCAGTGATGGTTCTGGATCACATTTAGCAGGGTGGGGACCGAAAAAAAATGAAAGAATTAACAGCAATTTTTCTTATTTAAAATATATTCAGTGAACTCCTGAACTCTGTGCAGAGCCTGCACGGATTGTAGGGGAAATTTGGACGTCATTTACTTTAAGTCATGTATCATGGGAGGAAAAGGCAAATGAAATAATTTAGATAAGTAATAAGATAATAAAATATTAAATTCAAAGGGTAATAGTGTCACAGGACCATGTGATGTCACTCACCAGTTGGTGAATGTGACCTTGATCGCTCAACATTGGGCCATAAGTGCAACGCCATGAGAACATTTTTGTTGCAAAAAATAATAGTTAAATATTAAACAGGATAGTAAATTGGTATTAAAGTAAAAAAATGACGGACATATCTTCCTACATTAAAAAAGTATAAAAAAAACAATTTGAAGACGTTTCACTTCCCAACCAGAACACTTTCTGAACTGAAAATGTCTGAAACAGGGTTGAGTTCCAGGCTTATAGATTGGCACAAAGAAACGTCTTGTTATGACTTAGAAAACATGCAAATTGAACCGAAAAACAGGCGAGGCCAGGTGAGATACTCTGGTCCCCTGCATGGCGATGCGGATTATGAAAGTGGGAAAGAATCAACTTTATCGCTGCATTTTAACCCTTTTGGAGGGCAGGAACCCCCTCTGTTTAAGGTTACCTAGTTTTTTCTCTCTTAACATAAATGGCTTCCTTCACACCCCTTTCAAACCACCTGCCTTCTTTGTCCAAAATGTGGACATTCTGGTCCTCAAACGAATGTCAATTCTTTTTCAATTCAGTTTATTAACGCATATCACCTCAAGGCACTTTACAGTTCAACCAGATCATACAGTCAAATTGATTCAAAGTTTCTATCTAAGGAAAGCCAGTTAATTGCATCGACTCGAATGCAATCCCTCACACTAAGCATGTTTGTAGCGACAGTGGAGAGGAAAAACTCCCTTTAAACAGGAAGAAACCTCCAGCAGAACCTAGCTGGAGGTTTCTTCCTGGAGGAACCTTTGTCCTTAAGGTGTAGGAGGACAGCAGAGTCTTGTCCGGAGTAGGTAGCCCGTGTGTTGAGCCATGTGTCTGTGGAGAGGTTGGTTGTGCCGCTCTACAAGCCTGGAGCGCGAACCTGACTCCAGACTTTTGAATTGAGAAAGCGTACTGAATGGGAAGCAAAACTTATTCAAACTTGGAAAACAAAGTCCAGTGGATTGCTAACTTTTTATATTTTGTTGGAATGACTATGACCTGAAGGACTGAGAATCTTCACCAGCATACAGTCTGAAATATCTAATTGAATTAAACTTTAAAAGCTGTGACCTATCATATTTTGAGAAGCAATTAGTAAGTCTTGAAGTAAAAATCTTTTTTTATTATTATTGCCAATAAAGTTCGACCAATGGGGTTTTAAAAAGGTTTTTATTGTTTATGGAGTAAAAAAATAAAGATAAAATGAAACTATTACACTACGGTGTTAAATATAACTGCTCCGATAACATTTGGTCCCACTCCAAATTAGTGTGAAAATTACTCTATAGCCAGTGTCAACTTTTCTTAGCTAATTTTACTCATTTTAGTGTAAGAATCAGGAAGACCTCTCAGAGACTGGTGGATAATCAACACCATTTAGTGTAAAAGTTACACTGCATGACTGTCGAATCTTTCACTAACTATTAACTCTGAATTTGACCAGATTTACTCTCGGTATAGTTGCAAATACTCTAGAGTAAAATATGTTCACTGAATTTTTACTATGTACTAGAATTATGTTAATTTGCATTCATAATTCACGACTATCTCATATTTCACTTATTTTAAATGCAAATCTGTTTTAATCATATCAGAATTAAAACTTAATAAAACTGATAAGTTTAGGTAATTGATTATTTTGAAGTTGCCTCAAAATTACATTTAGCAGATAAAACTAGGATCCTATCCTAATACAACACTAAATGTTACCTTATATTTAAAATCATAATTTAAACAAAATTAATAGGATCCAAAGGCTCCATCAGAGACTAGTAGTGATGAGTTGATGAGGCGTAATGAAGCGTTTGATACCAGGTGACTCAGTACTGCCTTTAAAATCCATACAGGGAGCCTCTTTGACAGACAACTGACTCTGTTTGACCTATAAAATAAACATCATTTTGTGTTTTATCGTATTATTTCATATCTTGGCTTGAATTGAAAATATCTGTGATATTTTCAGATGCAGTCAAATAATGTGAACATATAAAGTGAACATGTGAATGAGGTTTATTGTGGAATAGGCTTTTTTCTTTATTTTAAAGAAGTACATTAAGAACAATCAGGTAACAGTCTGTTTGAAATCTATTTAAATTCAGATAAGTCCAGTGAGACAGAAATAAAAACAAACTAAAATCAATATGAGATCAAAATGGTCCCACACAGCAGCAGGCTGCTCCATATTTCTTAATGTATTAGAGGAACTGCAAAAGATTAGAATTTTTTTTTTTTTGCAAATGCATCTCATCCGGATTCACTTATAAACACAGTTTCTTGCATCAGAATCGGATGGAAACAGCTGCTGTGTTGGTGTGACGTTGAAACGCGCTGCATGACAGGGAGGTTTTCAGGTGGTCCTTTTAGTCTTTTTTTTAGCAGCCTGTCTACACTGTTTGTGGAAATGTCACATTAAACCTAAAGCTATGAGGATTCTGATATGCTTACATCTTCTCTGGGACCTTCAATGAATTCATTCAATGAATGCAATTTAGTTTTTACCTGAAACAGCCAGCTTACTGCTTATTTGTCTCACTCAGGTGAGGCTCCTTTGAAGCATCACCTCAACCTTTTCAGCACTAGAGCAAAGAAAAGCAAAAGCAGGGAAAGTAAATATTTCAATAAATCTCCCTTAAAAATATTATCTTGAACTGCTTATTCTATTGTTTAACAGAATTCAAGATTGCTGTCAATAAAATAAATAAATAACAAAGAAACAAACAAACAAAAACTCTCCAGCTGCAATTACATCGTTCCACCCCTAGGGGGCAGCCTCCACTTTAGGAACAGTTGAGTGGCTTTGGCTGTTAACTGTTATAATAGAGCTTTCAAGCCTTTCTGTGTGTTTTTGTCTTAGTTTTAACTCCATGTTTCTACTCTGATCACTTCAGAGTTTGTTTTTAAGGTTGCTCCATATTTAGTTGGTTCATTTGTGTTGAGTTTCCTATTGCTTGTGTTCTGCTCCCTGTGCATTTGTTTATGTTCATTTTATATTTGTTTGTGTATTTTATATTAGTTTATGTTTGTAGACCGTCTCTGTGCTAGGTAGCCTCTTCCCCTCTGCTCCATTCCACAGCGTCTTTCATCCATTTTGATCAGATTCACCTGGTTTCATTTGTTTCTCCTTCTCTTCAATAATTCCCAGGTTTATATTGTTCTCTGATGCGCCTTCAATGGTCCTTAACTCTGTTCCAAGGTTATATTTTTATCATCACGCTGTCCTTGCAAACCATGAACTTCTTTATTACCCTTCTGCAATTTGGACCCAACAAAAACTCATGGCAGATTTCCCTGTTTTGACGACACTTCTTCCAGGAAATCTGTGTCACTGTGTGTGAAATGCATGTGTGGTTTTTGAAGGTAGTACACAATAGACTGAGGAGTCTCTAAAGAAAGTCTCTTCTTTCTTTCTAATCGGAACCAGCAGACATGTCTCCCTGTGCATGTGTGGGTTCTCTCTGGGTACTCTGGCTTCCTCCCACAATCCAAAAACATGACTATTAGGTTAATCGGCATCTCTAAATTGTCCTTAAGTGTGAGTGTGTGTGTGAGCCACACTATCTATATATTAGAACTATAAACCTTTACTTAAAAAGCGTCAAATCTATTCTATTCCCAGAATCCAGAGACGTTTTTCATTTTGAAAGAACGATTTCAAGAGCCAACAGTTGAAGCAAGTATGTTTTATTAATAGTAGTAATACCTGTACATGATTTTTTCTGTTTATAATCACCAAAATGGAGATTTAAAAAAAAAAAAAAAAAACTCTTTGCAAAGAGTCAAGAAGAGACTTTGTATGATTCCACTGGGGAAGAACAGTTTTGTGCAAACAGTGATGAGCTCCATTCTCTGTACTAAAAGCTCAAGTCCAAGATTTAGAAACACATTTTTTTAATAAAAATATCGAACCAGCTCCAGTGTATTATTTTCCAAGGTAAATCACTAGACTAGTTACTCTAAAAGTGTTTCTTTTTTATTTCAAAGAGTCTTAAATATTTAATATTTGATAGGGAAAGGTGACCTACAGTGCTACTAGTGGATTAAACCCACACTAATTGTTGAACTGCTTTAAACATTGCTGTAGAACAGTATCTGCTCCCTCACAGAACTATCCTGCTTTCGCTTTTTATTTTTGTCACACTTATTTATACTTATAAAAAAATGTTTTATATCAGTAAAGACAACCTGAGTAAATAATTCAAAAGGATTTAATTTATTAAGATAAAAGCTACTCAAACCAACCTGGGCCTATATAAAAAATATCAATGACAATATTTTCCAATTGGATCAAGTTTGTATTATATGATTTATCTAACTGGTTCAATTTCTCTAAGCCTCTTTACTCCTTCACTAAAATGGAACCTGTCTGACAACAGGAAGTAGGCTAAAAGATCTCTAATATCAAGACATCACTGCCGATATAAAAGTACTAGAGAACACATGAGACATCTATCAGTCTGCAAACGGTTGCAAATAAAAGGAAATCTTTAAAGCTTCAGAAAACCACATCCACATCATTAAGCTCCAATGGAGAAAACATCAAACAGCAACTCATCCTGGACAATCCAGAAGAACCCACGGCTACATTTAAGGTTCAAATCTCTCTTGACTCAGTTAAGATTAGTGTTTAATAATCAAAAATAAAAAAAAAAACTTGACAAAAAGTGCTTTTATGGGGACAAAAGATAAACTGTTTGACGTAAATGTCTTGCCATCATATAGAACTATGAATTCTTGCAAGTATTCAAATGTAAGACAATAGAGCAAAATGAGAAAATATCTAGATTTAAATATGACTTAGTGTGACTGTAATTCAAGCTTAATTCAGAAATACTTAATTTCACCTGAAATTAAACGTGGAATCTCATTGAAGGATTTAATCAATGAGAAGGGATTGATGCAGATGGCTGTAGGCATTTTTTACACAGGCCAATAATAATAATAATAATAATAATAATAATAATATTAATAATAATAATAATAATAATAATAATAATAATAATAACAGAACTTAATTAAAAATTTCCATTTTGTATTTATTCGGGTTGTCTTTGTCTGTTATTGTGATTTTTACCCCATGATGTTTACCCTCACCTGCAGATACTTGTAGCAGATTCTGATTCTAAAGGTATTTTGCAGCACTTTGACAAATTATCATCTGTAGCTTTACAAAAGTCATTCTCGCCTAACTGACAAAAAATCCTTTAGGATTAATCATCATCCCTTTTTCTTTAATACTTTTACACACAGTGAAAAGCAGGACTCAAACTAATTTGGGTCATTTCTGTACACACCTGGAGGTATAATCCAGGAGATAATGTCTCACCCTGGCATTGCTTGGATAATCTGTCAATCCCAATGAGATTTATTACTACGCATTATGTTTTACTACAGCATGGGGTTAAAAATATACAATAAACCCCTCTCTGTAACATTTCCGCTGAGGATGCACTACTTTGTTCAGCCTCCGGGAGGCGACCTACACAAAACAAACTGAGACGCTTCATATAATGTGCATCACTCCACCCTGAAGGGTCCTCATTTTAGATTATTTAGAAAAATACTTTAGAATAAAGCTTTGTTATGAATTTGAGAGTTTTCGCGTGATATATATGTATTTTTTTTGCATAAATATAGAAAGGCCATTACAGGCTAAGGCGTTTGGAAAAAGAAAAACACACAACTACAAGCTGAGATTAATATCCATCAGTAATGTTACAAATCCCCTGTTGTGATTCATCCTTTCCTTTGCTTGCAGTCTTGTTCCGTTCCTCCTGCGACTATCGCTCGATCAAAACAGTGTTTCTATCGTGTCCGCCGTCACTCTGGTAGCTGTAGGCAGATGATGAGAAGAGGATGTATGCCATTAGTACAATACAGTTACAGGAACACAGCTAATGAATATTCTGTCCTAATCTTTTTGAATTATTGAAACATGATCATGAGATTCAGGTTATGGCTGATTAAAGCATGTACTTGACTGGAAGAAAGCTGCAGGCGAGTCAGCAGCATCTGTGTTTTGCATGAGGAGGCCAGGGTAGAGCTTGTTAGATCACTTGCATACTTGTGGGTACGTTGAGCACACATTACAAGGTAAGGATTAAAATTGCTTTGCTGCTTTACTCAGTGCCGTGCAAGAATTAGCATTGTGTATAATTTTGTAATCTAAGGATAACTAGAAGCTCTAACTGTCCAGGAGGTTACAAAATAAGCAGCAACATACAAATGCTTGTCACTAATACTTTCACCAAAGCTTGAAAAAGTTCAGTTTAGGCAACTGGACGTGACATTTTCTAGAAGACTTTTCAACTCTCAACCAAGAGGCTTCTGCAGTTTTAACTAGTGGGAAGCACTAAGATTAATATATTGTAGGTGCATTGGCCAAGGAGGTCACATCGGGGGTGTTTATGGTCGTTAGGAGGCTCTGATCGGTTACCTCCATCGTCAGGGTGGTTTTGGTCACGTCCCTCATTGAATGTGAGTCAAGTCAGGGCTGGTGGGAGGTGAATCTTCTGGGTATTGTTCCTAAAAGTGCTTTGTAGGTGGTTGAAAGGTTATGTCTAAGACCACCTCCTCTGTTGAGGGATGTTTTTTCCAGGTTAACAAAGATGGCTTCCCTAACACCTCCTTCAGCCTTCAGGTGTAAGTGAACAGCTGAGTCCTGTCCTGAGGAGTTGCCCTCCTGTATTTAGCCCTGCACCCATGGAGCGGTTGCTTATACCCCATGTAAACTACCCTTGAAAAACCGATCCATGCCGAGACCGGTCCGAGCTCGGATCAGTTAACCAGGCCGAGCTCGGTTCTGACGACCGTTTACACATCACGCTATCTCGGTTCCTCGACTCCTCGCCTCCTAGTGACGATCTGCGGTATTACTGCCAGTATTGAAGGAGGAAATCAAGCAGTTGGTGGTGGTAATCCACCAAAAGTTGTTTGCCAACCGCCATAAAACACAAGAAGAAGAAGACAAAGAAGGAGGGAATCAAGCAAATCAAAATGGCGGCGCCCGTCACATTCAGAACATTATGCTTGATTATTATTGCTGTACTTCGGTGTTTGCAGAGGTTCAGGCAAAGACGGCAACCATTATTTAAAACGTTATGTGGAGAAGATTTTGATTGCTGTTTATAGTTGTTCTTCTTCTGTTTTGTGTTGGTTGGCAAGCAACTTCCGGAGGAGCGTTACCACCAACTACTGGAATGGAGTGTGAATCGGGATGTGCAGCCAGACGGAGATGACACGTTCTGCTTATGCGCTCTTGTTGTCAGAGAAGCGAGCCAGGGAAAAACCAAGCCGAGCCCACCTCTGGAACTGGTCTGCAGTTATCTCGGTTCGGTTCAGTTTGCTTTCCATTTACACATGATAAGTTATCTCAGTTACTGAGCTCGGATCGGTCTCGGCACGGTTTTTCAAGGGTAGTGTAAATGGGGTATTAGTCTCTCCAATGTACAGGCCTTAGCACTCTTCAATACACTGAACGTCTTCTAGAACATGTCCCATTCATGTCCCATTGCCTAGACTGAACTTTTTCAAGCTTGATCATGACCTGGATGACTGAAAATCTTCACAGATACTTTCACAGAAGCCCTTTTCACATTCTTACTCTGTAATAAATTTATAAACTACCCTTTAAGGCTTTGGTGTGCTTAAAGAGCTTTCAGCATGGATGAAAAAACCAAAGAAGCATGGCGTATGTATCACATATGGAACGCATGTTCCATATGTGATGTCAAGGTTCAGGTTACTATCAGTTAAGGTAGAATTGATACTAGGGGGGAGGCTGGATGTTCTCCTCTCTTTGCATCACATTACTGAGCTGCCTGATATATCACACCTTGAGAGGGAAGTCCACATCAACTCTCCCCAATTTATGTTGGTACATTTCTATTGATCGTGAGGCAAAAATAATGCATTCGGATTGTTGATTCAAGGTATAAGGTGCAACAGACAATGAGAGGAGATAATGGTTCCACTTACTTGTTTTAGGTGGTGCTACATGTTGTGCTGCTCCAGGAGCTGTGTCTTCCTCAACCCTGACCTCCGTCTTTGCTAAACAGCTCTGGGAAATCAACATCGGACTCGTACTACCAGGAGATGGTTTCTTTGCTATTGGTGGAGGAGTTCTGTCACTCCTAACTCTGCCGTTGGAGAGAGCACCAGCCTTTGATTGTTCAGAGACCTGCTTGAGCTCAGCTGCCAAGCTTTGCTTCAGACTTTCTTGAGCCTCTGAGGAGGAGGGGGTTACAGGCTCGATTATTACCCTTTTTGTACTCCTAGAGAAGATAAAGCTAGCTGTAGATGCAGGGGATTTAAGCATATCACACCCTTCAAGTGTTTTTAAAGACTGCACTCCTGGTTCGCCGATGCAGCCAGAACTGGGGGATTTCACGCCCAGTCTGTGTGGGAGACAGTCTCTGGAAGACATGGCTGCAGTTTTCATACGAATGGCCTCCTGAAGGCGCACCGAAGGAGAACTCATTGTCACCGAAGATACTTTTACTATCTGAGGGGGAGATTTCACTGATAAAGACTTGCGAATAGGCTTTGGAGGAATGTTTTGAGATCCTTGGCTTGGGACATTATTCTCCAGAACTTCAGTCCCCTCATGTGTGGCTTCTTCAGGTTGAGGTTGATCCTCAGTTGCACTGACCGTCCTGAGACGAACCATCTGCAGGAGCGAGGGAGTTACCAGTGGTATGTTTGCATCCTCTTTAGGTATTGGTGCACTTTTGTGGCGAGACAGGAGCTCCTTGCTTCTGGAGTCTCTGCATGCTCCACTAGGCTGCCTCCTGAAATTAACCCCGGGGGTTACATTTTCCATCTGTAGAGGAGGTGCTTTTGGCACAGATGTTGGTGTTGAAAGCTGTGGACTGTCTGGAATTGAGGAGGGAGGCTGGTCCTCAAGTTTTAGAGAGTTTCGCTTCATAGAACTGCTGGAGGGAACCGCTGTCTGCACTGACACTGGGCTCTCTGCTCTAGTAACTGGTGGTACAGGAAGCAATTCCACAGATGAGAGAGAAACTGTGTCTTTAGCACCTGGAGTATCCTGGGAAGAAGACTCAGTAGAAGGGTCAGCTTTTACAACTTGTTCATCATCCACAGGTTTGTTGTCAACTAAAGGTAAAAATGAAATGGTTGGTGTTTGCTCTATCAGATCTCTTACATCATCTCTTATTAATGGGGGAGGTGGGGGGAAATCTAACTCATCTCCCCCATCAAAGACAACTTCCCCTTCTAAAGGAGGAGGTGGAGGTGGCCAACAGGAGTCTACAGCATTTGACATGTCATGTTCCTTCCTCAATGGAGGTGGCGTCGGTTGGTAAGCTGGAGGAGGTGTATGTGGCGGTGAGAGCTTACTCAGTTTGGAGACATCTACTGTAAGTCTCTGCATAGATGGAACATCACTTGTTTTTAATTCGCTCTTATCACCTGGAACCATCTCAGCATTTTGGGATTTTGTCATATAATCCTCAACAGACAAACAAATGTCTATTGCAGTGCTGCAACTCAGCTTCCTTTCTTGTGGCTCTAATGGTTGCTCTGTTTCATCTCTTAACAATATTCTTATTGGCTTTTTCATAACTGGAGGGGGCTCTTTCTTTGGCGTCGTCTCTTGACTGTCTGGCTTCTTTAAAACACAGATACTACTTGATTCTCTGGTCTTAGCTACCGTATCATCCTTCTCATTTTTCTGTTCCTTTTTTTTGTCTGAGCATTCTCCAGCATTTAGTTCACTGCCTCCATCTTCAGGATCTTTTATGCCAAGGTTTTCTACATGTCCTGATATTTCTATGATAGGATTTTTCTGGGTGGACTGGTTGTCAGCTGTAACTGCAGCATCTGCACCGGGTTCTCTTTGGGGTTCTACTTGATTTTCTCTGCAGTCTTTAATCTGTACTGGTTTAAAGGGAGTTTTGCTTAGATTATGAGATGATTGACACAGGAGATCGACAGTGCGTCGGCTGTGGGCCCATGTCTCCGGAGGGGGTGGGGGAGGGGCTTTGACTTTAGGAGGAGGAGGGATGTTAAACAGTTCTTGTACTTCTGCTCTTAAAGATTCGGACTTGCTACTTGGAGGAACTTCTTTTGTTGGAGAGGAATCCTGGGGAGGCAGAGTTGAGCTGCATGTGGTAACATCTGCATTTGTAGGCTCAGATGTACCTGAAGATAAGGAAGTTAGTGAGGACGATGGAGAAGCTGTGGAGGAAGAGGCCCGAGATGCAGACCTCTCTGGTTTGATGGGTTTCTTTTTCTGTTCATCTGAAGAGTTTGGGGATATTTCTTTTGGGGAAAGTGTTGGAGTGCCACTCTGACTAGAATAGCCACTGGAAGGAGAAATTGTCCGTTCAAACTTTCCGCCATCTGAAGTTGTTTTCTGTGGGGAGGAAGGATCGGATTCTTTTTGCAATGCTGGTGCTTCTTCAGGCTGGGAAGAGGAGTCCTCTGAAGGGGCTAAAGGCATGGAGGAAGAGATTGTCAAGCTTTCCCCATCAGAGTTTGTCAGTGGTTTTTGGCTCAAATGGGGATTTATAGGAACCGACTTAATTTCGTCACCTGTTTCTGTTTTTTCAGAGGAACCTTTCCCTTCTACTGAACTTAAATTACTAAGATGTTCAAACTCCGCCAGGACCTTGAACTCACTTTTTATCTTTTTACCATGCAGAGAGTTTGTTCTTCGTGGAGGTGCTGGAGGCTGTTTGGTCTTTGTGACTGAAAGACTATGAATGCAATTGCGTTTGCTCTTTGTTTGATCCCCGGCAGCCAATGACTGTGTTGCCCCATGCCCAGACTCTATTTCTGGTGTGTTTGCTTCTACCTTGTTCAGGCTGCTGTTTGCATTACCTGAGTTACAAAGGCTAGTTAGGTCCTGGCCATTACAAGACTCCTCTATCTGCTTTTGTTTCAAAATACACCCTGCTCTGTCAGAAGATGGAACTGTGGAATCTGAAATAATTGTCTTAGAGGACTGGGATTCACTCCAGTTTGAACCTGAGGCTGAGCGGGACATTAATGCTGAGTCGTAGTTGGAACTATTTGTCTGGGAACCATCACCGTTCATTCTTCTGGACAAAGTCGGACTAACTGCTGATTCCTCAGATGTCAAGCTGCTTTTGCTGACAGCACAAACGCTGGTTCCGTGATTGACACTGCTGCCACGAGTCCGGCTGTTGCTGCGGTCAATCTCAATTACTTCAACCGAAGCAGGTAAAACAGCATTAGGGATGATTGTAGACAAGTAAGTGGCCTGAGGCGAAATAGACATCACTGGACCCTATAAGGAATCAGAAGTAGGTGTTAAACATCTTGATAACATGAATACTCAAAATACATTGAGGCACTCAACTCAAACCCTAATAGAATTCTTACCTGAGGCTCCTGGAGAAAGTTAAATGTCGAGGGAGAGAGTGAAAAGGATGTTGTCATTGTAGGAACCGCAAGAGACTTGGGTCTCATTGTGGATGTTGGGCAGATATGCATCTCCTCATTCTGGTACACTGCATACAGTTGCTTTGTAGACGCCTGTTCATCCCTGAAGACCTGTTACAGAATTAACAGACAACCGTAACAGACGTTTCCAATAAGAGCTTAGTCTGTAATTCGAGCCATTTACCTCTAGTTCTGATAGATGGACCCTTGCTCCCTCTTTTTTTCCAAACGGAGTCCCTCCATCCATTGTTGGAATGATAACAACACTTGGCTGGATGTTGCCATCAGGGGTTTCATGACTGGGGAGCTGAGTCGGAAGGGGCTGAAAGGTGGAACTTCTGTTTAGAGCTGTAGAGAATATCAGCCATGTTAATAGACAGATTACTAATGAAGGCCAACCAAACGCTTTCCAATTAAGAAAGGAATAGGGACAGAAACATACCAAGCTCTTTCTGAACCTGGTTGGGAATGCCCATAATGGTGGTCCTCCTGTTCCTCTTCCTGCCCCTTTCGTGTCTTTTCATTGGATTCAGTGGCTTGAATGTAGAGCCTGAAAGGAAGCCAAAAACATTTTGATTTTCTAACAATAAAATCCTAAATCCAGTTGGTCTTGAGATAAAAATGTATACTTTTAGTCATCCATTTTAGCAAACTCATGTGTCTACCTCTACATTTTGAGTTTGGATTTCACCTTCCAATTACCTTGATACAGATGCTTTACTGGATCATTCCAACACAGAAATATACTTTGAACTAAAATAGAGCTTGTCAAACACAGAAAATGCTACCAGAGTCGACTCATGACCCAAACTATTGCTTGAGTAAAACGTTTCTACAAAACCAGTTAACCACAGTGTAAATGATATCAAAGACAGCATAATTAACCAAAGTAATTGGTTTTGTTTTCATATCTATAGTGGACCTCAAGACACCATACTGGTAGGTCGAGACCTTAACTCTCTAGCTGTGGGTTTACCTTTATTATCCTGCTAGAAGAGAAATCTCTATCCCAGTCTCTAATCTTATACAGCTTTCTAATGCCAGAGCGTATGTAGCCCAAAGTATTTCAGAATCAAATCTGAGCATATTTTGAAAACCACGAATGAAATCTACTCGACATAATAACCCTACTACTGTCCTCTTTTACAGTGGAGAGGATGGTGTACTTGGTGCCTTACAGTGCTTAATTGTGGTTATATCTTGTAATCTTTGCTTTGTCCAGTAAATATCTTACCTATATCTTGTCTAAGTCTAAATAATCTCGTAAGGCACTTCTGGTTTATCAGCCAAAAAAACAATAACAATAATAAAACCTCACAGATGAAAAACTCAACAATGTGCATAGAGCACATGCTTTTTTTAAATCAAAAAGAATATGATCAGAATCAGATATGATTCGAATACCAATGGCAATCACTGCGTGGGCACATGCAGCCTTTTTCTCTCGCTCTTGATAATGCTGACAGACAGACTCAGCCTTCCAGCTGTGATATGCAGAGGAAGCCACATAGCTGTCTGACATGCTTAGAACTTCTAAGACCAACCTAAAAAAAAATCCCTCCTCGGTTCGGTATATGAGTGTGTGTGTCAAGTTTCTCTGCCTTTGATTTCAAACCAAAACTGCAGAGGCACCAAGCGGTGGGGAATGAGTCATGCATTTTAAGTAAATACCCAACTCCAACTTTGTTAAGCAGTGAAAAAAAATCTAACTTGCCCCATTGCTGCTATAATTAGCTCCTTTTAAGATGCAAAAGATATAGAGGATTCCTTCTCAAGTGCTTGTGTGCAGAGCACGCTCACACGAAATGCTTACCTTGGTGAGTAAGCCCAGGTCTGTCCAACACAGCGGAAGTTGCAGTGGTATCATTATTGGAGTTGGGACTTGTCTCCATAGAGTCACCTCTATCCTTGCAGCTGGTGTCCTGCTCAGGGCAGATGGTATCTGTGAACTAAAGGTTTCACAAACACAAATACAATAGTAAGCTACACGGTATTCTAATAGTGTGCAAGAAATGGATAAAAACGTATCTACAAAATAGTTTTTCTTACAGCAATGCTTTCATTGTCAGCATAGTTTATTCCGTTCTTGTGCTCTGTGTGGAAAAAAACAACAACCCAACAACAAATAAATTAGTAACCAAAATTACCCAATATCTGATGATATGGTAAACATCTGTGGCTCCATGAAGGAAGCCGCTCTGAATGCCTCACCTTCCTGCTGCTGTATCTTGAGCCCCTCCTGAGCTTCGGTGTGTAAGTCTTCCAGGTACTGAGATCTGCTCCCTTCAATGAAAACATTCTCCTGGTAGTGCTGGGAGGCCGTGTAGTGAACCGTCAGCCTCTTCTGGCTTTCATTCCCCTTTGGGCCAGCTGCTTGATGAAGTATGAAAGAAAGAAAAAAAACCAAATACATTTTATATTATAAAATATGTCCAGAATCGCAGCTAAAATAAATCAAATCCTTTTACAATTGGGGGATTTGCCTACACTGAGTGCTGTCTGAGCACACAGACAAGAATACTCCTCAGCGATCATGTTTTTTTGATAGACAAGGCTCAGGGTCAGCTGTGTGTTTATAAAGAAATTTGTGAAACTTTTAGAAAAGGAACTTTATTTTTACAGCTTTTTAAGACATGTCTGTACTTCATTTTGGAAGCTAGGGTAATGAGGAGAGTGCAAGAGTTTGAGCAGAAAACAGGAAGGCTTACTGAACATACAGCAATGGAACATGTTGGTTAGTGGCCTTTTGGAAATCTTTCACTATAGGCATACATTTTTTTATCTAATAGAATATACATGGAGACTGCTTAAAGTGACAGTTAAACATTTCGACCTTGAAAACATTTCATTACAGTTAAGAAATTGTCCTTAATAATCGTATGCTATGATTTCTAAATATAGCAACAAAACTGAAATTATCATTCCAAATTCTTATTATTTATTTCCTCCATTCTTCATTTTGACAGGTGTGAAGGCTGAAACGTAGATCTACGTCACACCAGGTCCTCTGTTGGACTTGAACCTTTTGACACAGCTCACTCAGTAATTTAGAGGACAGATGTCTCAGTGTGGCTGAGGCTTTTAACGGCACGACCATGGCCCGGCTAATCTCCTGCTGTATATCTTAAGGCTTCGCTAGTCCCTGCAGGGTAAGATAATCTGGCTTCTCCGTCTGATAAGATGCTATACACCCCAACACTGTGAGGCCTCCTCTGTGGGAAATTGAACAGATTCTCATGCAGGACCAGTAAACACAATGAAGATGAAAACAAAACCTGACTTACAGAGATAACATTTAAACTAAACATGTAGAAGATTCATAATGGAGCCTGATTTGACTTCATATAGCCTCAATTGATCATTGGGAGAAAAGTGAGAAAAACATTCATTTAGTTTTTGGGTATGAAAGGTTGAATCGTTTTTATTGATTAAAGCTTAGTTCTGGGCCAGTTTGTATGTTTTCAGTGACGCTTTCACAAAGCGTCAGCATAATGCGATGTAGAGCAAAGCACAGCTGACATGCGGCAATACAGGATTAGCCCCAAATGGGACTATAGTCACTGTAAACAAACCATTTTATTTCCATTTGTTTTTGTTGTTGCATATTTATATGATTTAATGATTAAATAATAAGACTAAATGCTGAAATCTTTGATTAATTTAATTAAAAAATTCTATATTACAGTTCAATTTAATTCCCTTTGGCTCTAATCATTTGGGCCTATACCAACTTTTAGGAAATATGATGGATATGACCACTAACTGAACCAAGATATTATAAATATACTATTTATAGATGGTAGAAAGCTACTTTAAATAATCTGTTGTGGAAGAAAAACATCACACTTAGGATGTTTCCATGTCATGAACTAAAAGTCTGGTCAAAAACAATGAAAACAGAATGTACCAAATGACAAAGGGGGGAAATAAATGTAACCATGAGAACTTAACATACTGGCTAAACATTTTATTTGTGGTGTAAAAGTGTTTTACTGCTTTGATAATGTTCCAACCCAATCTTGTTTAGATGTGGGAAAATATAGAAAAAAATAAACAATATAGTATAATATTTACATTTTGGCTGGTGATTTGCACCCCAACCTCCTTTTCCTCTGTAGATGGTGGGCAGGTTGCTACTGTACACCTCCTGTACTACTGTAAATATGGCCATGTTTAGATTAGCCACCATAATTTCTGAATATTTACTCAGTGCTCACTAATCTTGACTCAAAAAGTTACAGAGTACTAAGTTTGAAGGCTTTTTGGTTCACCAGAAAAATCAAGTATTAAATATAAAATAATAAAAATGTCAAACTGGTTGGGTTGCATTGTTAGAGGCGCTATAAAGTTTTCTGAGGGTGAATTAGTAATAAATCTGATTTATGGAGGGGTTTGTTTTCATAGTTTACATGATTTGTCATTCATCTTAATCTAGAGCTTATAAAAACAGTAGAGGACCCTATATGTAATACATAAATATAATATATATAGATATATGAATGATGAATTGTTTTATTTCACCATTTATTTCTAAAAAGTAAATGTGTATGCCTAATTCTGCCTTATATTTAGATTGTGGTAGTTAAAATGCATCAGCAAAGAGCTTAATTGGGTGTCATGTTGCAAGTTTGAGAGGAAATTAAATGAAGCCAGGGGGCTAAAAGTGTAGCTAAACAAGGCTCAATGTGAGGTGTCCTCTTTCCCTCCTTTTGTCACGTTTAACACTGCTTCTCAGTCGTACCTGATTAGGTAACACAGTGAGTGTGTGTATTCACTTCGTATGTGTGTGTGGACAGTGTCGCCCCTATCCTCAAGTATTCCCACTGCTGACACAACCCAGTATTTCTGGGAAAATATTTTCCTTGGTCATTTGAAAAACAACAACAGCAAAAATAATTTTATGTAAATCATGTAATTTAAGCGCATTCATTAAAATAAGAAGCTTACCCAAGACTGTGCCAGACCCCTGCAGAAGGTTTAGGGATTTCTTTTGGTTGATTAAGATGATCAATAAAAAAAAACGTCAGTTAAGCTCCTTTATCTCATTAAAGCAGACCCCTGGCTGCTCTTTAAAGCTAATTATGTTTGTGTTCATGTAATCATAAGGCAGACATCTTCAGATCTTTAGCCAAACTCTACAAGATATTCACCCCCAGCCTTCTGTGCAAACCAGGCACTCACCCTTCTTCTTGAAGACAGACAGCAGAGAGTGGATGCTCTTCCTCAAGTAGACAACCATGCCTACGCCAGCATCGTAGCGCACACTAAATCCAAATATGGTGGTAAATCAAAGCAATCTGACAAGTTTTAAATTCAATGATAAGATCCAGATCCTCTGACTTTTTTAGGAAGAAAAAAAACAAAACAACAAAAAAAGAAGAAATCCCCCCCGACTGCAGCTTGGTTCCTGTTAAACATAGATGCTTCTGCAGAGTGTCTTGAGAGAGAGACAAGTGCACAATGAGATCAGCTCCCAGCCAAAGCTTCCCCGTCCCAGCTGCCTTATCCTCTGGCTCTGATACCCAGCTCTTCTCTCCTCCCCTCCCCTCCCCCTCTGATGGCTCCTTCACCCCCCTCTCTATTGTCAAAATAAAGTCCCCCCATTCTCCATCCCCTCCTGCTTAAAACGGCTGTCAAAGTTTAGCTTTCGGGAGGCAGCCACCCCCAACTTTTCAGACACGTGCTGGGTTGTGTGTAAACACCCTCAGAAAGTTCAACCCATCTAATATGGAAGAGCTCGTATACATTTAAGAGCTTTGAAATACAAAAATATACAAAAAAGGGATTCATTTTGTTTGGTTTAATTTTAAAGAGTAATGTGGTTTTGGTTTATCCCAGGATAAGTGATATAATTAAGAGTTGTGAAGTCCTATTTATTGTGTTCCTAATGAGGGCCTTCAGCAAAGTGCATCTGTCAGTCTCTGTGTCTCATTATATGAGGGGCTTTAGGGGCTTCCTTTTACAGCAGAGGTTGTATCCTCACCGTGGAACTCTGAGCAACTCTTAACCGCACTTTCTTTTCCTTCTGCTCTCCTTTTGTCTGACATCCTTCACATCTTTCTCTGCCGTCAGTCTGCCCCTTATGCAGCTATAATCACCATCAGAGGTTATAAATAGCCACTGCAGCCTCAGTGACCCATCTGGAACGGTCCCCGTATGACGATGAGCTTTTTTCTACAGCTGCTAATATTTCCTGATAAACTGCAAAAAATGCAAACCTTTATGAAATTAATAAAGCCTTATGTTAGAAAAACAAACTTAAATTCTTTTTGGGATTTTTGGGGATTCGATGCTTGACTTAAGCTGCACCTAAATGTATAATGGAGGATGTTCCTTTTCCATGTGGATCATCAAAATAAGTGGTCCTCCTAATTGTGAATCATTCTGGTGATATGTTTATGTAAGGCCGCCCTACGTGCTCTTCCCCATTTTCACTTACAGGTTATGAGACATAGAGGAACAAATTGCAAATCTTCTTTTGGAAAGTAAGCTTGTCTGAGCGATGCAAACAGAAACTTTTAAACAGAGCGTGCACGAGTAGAAATGGGCTTGTGCACGCTCTTACACGTTTTTAATAGGCGCTTCCTTTCAGGTGCAGGTACAGGGTTGTGCATGTGCATGTTTTTTAAAGTGGAGAGGGTGGGTATTTTTTTTAACATTTTGTGAAAATCCTCCAATATACCTTTAATTATTAAGAATATTTAAAAAAAACAACCTTTTGAACAGATTTCCTCGGAAGGAGACTAATTTTAAAACAGTCCATCTTTGTCTAGTTTAATCTTAGTACAAATCTAGCTTTTCTGCAAAGACCTTTTCTGTTAAACAAGTCCAAAATTTGAACTTTTTTGCTTATATGTAAAATGTAACATACAGTCAAAGACAAACCTTACTCATATGCAGTTCCAAATATTGGGGATAGCAGCATCATTTATTTATTTTTTTTCATTTAGTTGTATGGTTTTTTTTTTTTTTTTTTTGCAAAACCCCCAATGGACTGTGTTGAAGATTAGCACATGTACTAACACACTTAAGCACTGTATCGTTGTTGTTTTTTTTCCTAATGTATATGTGCTGCCCATATTACGGTAAGTAAATAAATAAATGCTGTGGTAAAGCCTTTCTTCTGCAGGGATGGAGAAGCTGCATAGAGTATATGGGATAAATGATGGAAGTAAATATAGAATAATCCTTAAAAAAGAAAAACATCTATTGGAGGCGATGAACCCTTTGGTGTGACAAAGGTCCGGAACATACAGTCAGAGGTAGAGTGATCAACACAAAGTCTTATGTTAGAATGGCCCAGAATGATTAAAGGCTTAAACTGAATAAATGATTCATTGAAAAAAACCTGAAAACAGATGTTTACAGAT